TTTCCTGGCCACTGACTTATAGTAGATGATTCGTTTCACAGTATTTTTTACCTGGAGCAAGTTTCTTCACTGGCAGTCATGAGACCTCTTCTATCCCTTTTCCAATAATTTCACAGTCAAGGCCAAAGGCCTATTCAAACCTGCAGGACTGCATTCAAACCTGCATCAATAAATTAAGCGACTCTGGCATTGATGCCTGCACAGTTGGATGGGTAAAAAACTGGCTGATGGGGCACACCCAGAGAATAGTGGTGGACGGGTTGTACTCAACCTGGTGAGATGTGAGCAGTGGGGTACCCCAGGGCTTGGTCCTCGGGCCCGCGCTGTTTAACATCTTCATCAGCGACTTGGACGAGGGGGTGGAAAGCACACTGTCCAAGTTTGCTGATGACACTAAGATGTAGGGTGAGGTGGACACACTTGAAGGGAGAGAGAGGCTGCAACTAGATTTAGACAGACTACAAAAGTGGGCAGACGAGAATAGGATGGGGTTCAACATAGACAAATGCAGGGTGCTGCACCTTGGGAGAAGGAATCCACAGCATACACAGCATTAGTGACCCCAAGATGAACATGAGCCGCCAATGCCAGACTGCAGCCAGCAAGGCCAGCCACACCTTGTCATGCATCCAAAGGTGCATCTCAAGCCGGTCCAGAAAGGTGATACTCCCCCTCTGTGCGACTTTGGTCAGACCGCAGTTGGAGTACTGCGTCCAGTACTGGGCGCCACACTTCAAAAGGGATGTGGCCAGCCTGGAGAGAGTTCAGAGGAGGGCCACCTGCTTGGTGAGAGGGCAGCAGGACAGGCCCTATGAGGAGAGACTGAGGGACCTGAACCTGTTCAGCCTTGGCAAGAGGGGGCTGAGGGGGACCTGGTGGCTGCCTACAAACTTATCAGGGGAGATCAACAGCAAATAGGTAGAGCCCTTTTCTCCCCAGCACCACCTGGGGTGACAAGGAACAATGGTCATAAGCTGATGGAGAATAGGTTTAAGTTAGAGATCAGAAGGCAATATTTTACAGTTAGGAATGCCAAAATCTGGAACCAACTTCACCGGGAAGTGGTCCTCGCCCCTACCTTGGGCAAATTCAAGAGGAGGTTGGATGATCACCTGTCTGGGGTCTTGTGAACCCAGCATTCATTCCTGCCTGTGGCAGGGGGTCAGGCTAGATGATCTGTTCAGGTCCCTCCTGACCCTAGCTACTATGAAACTATGAGACTGTTGGGCCAGCATGGCTAAAAGGAACCAGCTGCTGGAACCAGTGGCACACAAAGCATTGATGCAGCCAGTGTCACATCTGGCCACTTTTGCCTCCCCAGCTCCAATGACCAGGTACACACACGTGGGTCAGCTAGGGCAGCCTTGGCAAGGGTCTAGAGCAAAGTTCGAACTCCTGCCTCAGGTCGCAAGATACTTTCACCACTTTGCTACCATATGTGTAAACAGCACAACATATTGCTTAAAATCCTACATCTGGGGCCTGCTCCTTCTCCAATAGGAGTTTCCCTCTTCATCTAAATGGACACAGCTGACCATAAATGAGACCAGGAAAGAAGTCCCCCTCTCCTCAAAGAAGAAGCACAAGGAGGAAGAACAGTAAAATGGATCCTACTCCACCTTCCACTGATAAATCTTTAAGGAATGGCTTGTCAGGATGCTTCAATGTTTTCTTAGCTACCTGCCCTGTAGGGTCAGGCTAATGACAGGACTATTCTCTTTTCAAGACTGCCAAGTTCTGTGGAGTCAAAGGAGCAATTAGTTACTGAGCAGGCTGGGTGATTTCACACTCACTGTGTCCTACACCCTGTCCAGCTCTGCTGTCTTTAAACCTGGAGAAAATACCTTCTTCCCCCACTAACGTGGGCAGAGAGCTGGTGCCTACAAATGCAGGAAGTCACATTCAGTCAGTCATATTGCCACCTGCCTCCTCCTTCAAAGAAAAAAGGTTGGAAGGGGATTCAGCAAGTTTCAAAGGGTTTTCATGGGCTTATTTAAACAGAAGAGTTTTTAAATGGAGATGTGTTTCCTTTGCTCTGATGGGGCACATTGCCAGCAGTAGGAAATACAGCTGTTAGATGAAGATAGCAACTAAATGCAACTACAGGGTCAAGAGTATACTGCTCCAACAGACATCATTTAAAGAGTTAGAGAATAGTCAGTTCCCTGAGCCAATCTGGCTTCCCCCCTTTTACAGACTAAAAGTAGAATTTTAGTGCATTTCAAGGGCTTTCTGACATTACTCATCATGTGAACTTACCCCTTTGTTGCAGCTGTTTGAGGTGTTGTTGACATATCCTCTGCCTGCTGTGGAGGGGAGCAATGCAAGGGTTGCAAGTTACCTTCCTGGGCCACTTACCTGTTGGGGTGAGGTGTCTCCAGGTGATGACAGGCTCAGGTCTCCCATTTGCCATGCACACCAGGGTCACATTGCTGCCCTCATTCACGGTGATATCCGAGGAGATGTTGGAGATCTTTGGTGGAACTGTGAAGACAAAAGGTGGTTGGACCTTGTTATCTAGAGGTCTGAGGGACAAGGAGCCTGCCTCATATGCAGCACAGTCAACTAGAGTTAGCCACTGACCCCTTACACAGGCAGTGCTAATTATTTTAGATATATACAATATAATAACAAACACCACATCCCACCCCGATTATTCTTTAAAGCCCAGCAGAACCCTAAACACAGGGGACAAGTTACAGGCCTTTTCTAAGAAATGTGCAGTCTGAATAACCACATAAAACAATTCAGGCACAAAGTCCCCTAGGTGAGCTAGAAGTCATTCCTCTCCAAAAGCACAGAATGGACCCGAGCCATCGTTCTGAGGCACTGACAAAAATAAACTTCTTATTGGAGGTGAATAAGAGCAGAATTTGATCCGGTAATCTTAGGAGCCTTCTTTAGAGTAGTCATGTAAGACAGGAGATTTTCCAGGGAATGTTTGTTTGTGGGCTTCCTAATTTTTGTGTAGTATGACAGGGGCAGCATTTCTGGCTTACAATGGGAGGCCATTGCTGGTGGGATTCATTGAACAGATGGGTTTAAAACTGGGATTTGAAAGAAGAGATGGCCACCTGGAGCACCAAATGCAGGAGAGAGGTCTTATGCAGGAGATAGCTTGAGGAAGGTGTGAAAGGGAGAGGCTGGGTCTGATACAGAGGATAGTTTTGTTGGGGGCTTGGCTGATGAGAAGCATGGGGGTGGGAGGGAAAGA